TATTTTGGGTTTAGTCAACAAGATTTATAAGAATTCTTATCAACAGGCAAGATCTACAAAGTACTCATACTAGGATTTTAAAATAGTGAAGAAAAAAATAAAACACCTGAAATGAGACCCCCCAAAGCAAAATGCAGAACTTACAGCTGTTGTGAAAACCATAAACAAATGAATCCTAGTTCAGATTTCTGGCTCTCAGGAATATACTTGCAGGGCATTCTTTTCTCGGTGACACAGGAGACATTCCAAGGCCTCTAGCTGACAGGCAGAAATCCCATTATTTTTGCTTTCGACATCTTTCAAACTACCCCCATCCTTCATTCCTCATCTCCAATACCAATGCAGGCACTTGTCTCACAGCCTGGCAACATCGTCTTCCAGGCTGGGACTCCAGGCTTGCCTCCTTGCAGTCCATCCATTATACATACAGAACACTAAAAACCTTCAGAGGCTTAAGAACAAGATCAAATTTTTACTGGGTTTTTCTTATTCTATCCTATCTTATTTTCCACTCGGTCACAGACTATCCCCTTATTTTGGCATTCCTGTCTCAAATACAAGCACAGCCCACCCACCCCCTTCCTCACCTGGCCCTGTCCTATGCATCTCATAAAGTCCAGTTCATGCCACACTTCCACCACACAGCTTTTTCTGACTTCAGCTCATGCAAATCTCTCCCCTTCCAAAACTCCTCTGGCAGTCACAGTAACACAGCTTTAGCATTCCATTCAAATACTAGTTCACTGCTGAGTACTAGTAGTTGTGATCTTAAATCATTTAACCTCTACGGGCCACCATTTCCTCATCTGAAAAATAATGTAAGTCTAAACTAAGAGATTTTAAAAGGGCTTTTCCTGTTCTAAAAATCCTCTAATTTTATATTCACATATTATCTATTCATGTTATTTTTATTTACATTATACTTATATTAACATATTAATCTCACATCTCTTATTTAGAATTCCTGAAGGGAGAAAGTACATCTTATATTTTCCTCCCCAACTCTCAAAGCAACTTATCCTTGATGTGGTTGAAGGAATGGTCGATAAATGTAACATGAAATTGAGTCACCAGTCCTGAGATAGAAGAACACTTCAATGATCCAAGAGTGAGCCCAAACCCTATTTCTAAAGCAGTTTAAGAAACTTGTAGAGGCAGTTAGTGCCAGACACAGTAGGAGACACCAAAGTAATCGATCCACTGCTCATTCTCTTCTAGAGCAAAAGGTCTGCCTCAACAGAAAACAAGAATCCACCCGAGAATGGACTGAGCACAGCTTTGAGAGCTCAAAATGGTCTCTTAATTCCTATGCCACACTGTTTGAAGTACGTGTACAGAAGCCTCTAAATGGCAGATGGATGCAACTTTTAGGAAAGCTCAGATGTTGTATATGTCCTGGTGCAGAGTATTCAGAGGCTGTGCTTGTGGAGAACCCGTGCGACTATCTCAAGTCTGCCGTACAACAGTGGGGAAATTTAGGTTCGTTTCAGTCATGCAAGGCCTGAAACCTACAATAGAAGAGCAATTCCTTCCATTTCTATGCCCCAGTGGCCTCCCCTCTCCTTCCCGCCCCAAGAAAAACACAAGCTTTTATAATAGGGAAAGTAACAAAGGCAGATATATCAAAGCATTCAGTTCTATTTCAGGCTTCCACTAAAGTGTTTTTACTTTCTCTCTTTTTTCAGGGCAGTACAAGTCAACATGTAAAAAGAAAATAAGGAAGTAGTCTGCTGGAGGACAGGAGTCAACACTAACCAAAAGGTAACCAGAAACTCCAAGATAGTGAGGATGTAATCCCTTCTGAACTCTAGTCAGGGGCAGAGGGCTAAGCCCCTTTCTATTTCATCATCTTCAAATAAAATGTATTCACTACCCATATGCACACACACCCCCATCAAGAGAGGGCAAACCTATCCCTATTTCAGTCAAGTTAAACTGGTCAATACTGAGACAGGGACCATAAATGTAGTCAGAGTAGGGTGAGGGTCTCCGGAGGGGGCAAGGCAGGATATTTGCAGCCAGAGCAATGTAACTACATGCAGGGAACCCCCCCTGCTAAAACTCTATGTTAAACATTGAGCTCTAGAATCATTCTTCAGTGAAATTAGTTAATGTTCCCCAGATAAAGAAGAGTAGCACATGTTTTATTATGCTAACCATTTATAATCACGTGTAAGGTTCTCTTTAGCATACTAAAAGGCCCAGGCCTCTGTGCTGTCTTTCTCCTTCAGATCTGATGAAGTGATTTTGCAAACTGGGCAACTAATTTAGCAAGTAAGCCCAGGCATAAACAACATAGTAAAAGGCAGGAAGGATTCCACCTTAAAGATAAGATTGCATTTTAATACCCAAGAAGTTAAGACGTTAGAAATTTCTTAACTTACTCTTTAGCAAAACAATACCTCAGCCCACCTTGGGGGCTGAGCAGGTGGCCTTGTTTCCTGTGCCCCCAGACCAAGATGCTGGTATCTCAGGGAGAAATCATCAGAGGAAGTTGCTTGTGTTAAATTAATTCTAAATATTCAGAGACCATTTAACAAGTCCACACCCCTAAGTCTTTTTCATGTTCTCAAAAAATCCTCAGCTGCCTATAAAACCCCCTAGACAACGCACCACTATGTACTCTCTTGTCCCCTCCTGGCGTGATCTGGGACTCTGTCCTTTCACTGCATCTCTAAATAAAAGCCTGTACCTTGGTCTCCTACCTTGACTGTGAAGCTCATTTTTCGGCTCCACAAACAAGAACCCCAGCATCAATACCACTGGTCCAGCCACTTCTAAATATGTTTGGCTCACAATTAACATCCTTAAGGGTTATCAAATCAAAGCTACTCAAATGAAGTCAATTACTCTATGAATAACCAGATGAAGAAAACACTACTTTTCAAGTAACACTCTTAAAACAAAGCAGCGTCCCTCCTCTTCACTCAGCTTTTTCACAGAATTATGAGACAAAGGGCAACTTGTATTATCACTTTTTTTTTGGAGTAAAGCCACAAGATTACTAACAAACAGCTAACAGTCACCATTCAAAAGCAATAACGACATTATGACTTCATATGCCAGTTATCTACCAAACTGGAAAGAACAAAATATATGTATTTTTGTCGCTCCTCAAAAAAAAATCTGAAAGTAAATGTGAGAACTGATTCACTCTCTCTCCCACCATAAAAATTTCTGGGGGAATATTAAACAGCATTTCTTCTTAATTACAGGACAGGAGAGAGGAGTTTTATACTTGTTCAAGAATTTATCAACTTAAACTGGACAACTTATGAAATGTTCATGGTCTAGGACAAACTTCAGTGATAGTAAACAGGGAAAGTTCTTATCTAAAAATAATCTTAAAAACAGCCCTCAATTTCCTAGTTTTTAAAAAATTTGTTGCATTAGTGCTAAATATGCAATGGGGTAAATTTGACAAAAAATATGAACTACCAGGCTTCCAGGTTTGTTTTTAGGGTAAAGCGTAATGGAGAAATATAAGCTTGTATTAAAAACAAGAAAAACTTTGGCCCCAAAGGGTTTTCATATAGGCCACAATGCTATCTGCTGAAAACAGTAATCACCAAATTACCTCTGTATAAAAATGATGCAGAGTAATTTAGTAGTCTAAGTTATGTTTGCTCTGATTTCTAGCTGAGAAAACAGAAACAACATACATGTCACTGCAACACCTAAGCTGGTTCTGTCTGCTTTCTGACAATTTATGCTGACTTTGAGAATACCCTCGAAAAGCCTGGTGTCACAAAAACAGCGTTGGAAAGAACACACACATAGGTCCTTCTCTCTCCTTACAGGATTCAATACCACCTTTGATGAAGTACAACCTACATTTCGAATACCAAGAAACTACCGAGAAGATAACTTTGGAGTAGAATTTTATGCCTTGGGCAATGAGAGCAAAATAGTAACTATCCATAGGCCTGCATAACTTAAACAAAAACAAAAAGAACCACTAGTCCTTTTATAAAGGATAATATTTCCACATTTCCGCTTTCTTCCTCTTTGTAAAACTAATAATTTCATTCAGGGGTAGTAAATACAGGGACAGCAAATCCCAACAAATCAGACTAAAGCTCAGAGGGGGGAAAAAGAGGTTAAAACTTGAGACACAGTGAATATGCGAACAAATTTCAGTTTTTCCTCATTTAGAGTTGACTCTCTACTTGATAACACCCACCCTTAGCAAAAATAAATTACATATCCAAAAGGGCAAGCTGCTCCAGTCAATTGGGTAAACAACATAATTAACATGTGCCAGGTGGAAAGTGAATTCTTATGTAGATAGTGGAGCTCAAAGTGAGCTGCAAACTGTAAAGCAACTTATTTAAAAATTGTCAGCAGGTTTCTTTTGTGCAATTAGAGTTTAATATAGGGTAATTGTTTCTCAAGTTTTTTTAGGAAAACAGAAATCTGACTTGCACAAGAGCAAGCTGAACCTTACTATTAAGAAATCCCTTAGTTTTCGCACAATTAAAAAAACTGAGATTCTTTAATGATTTTTTGCATATACTTCCAACTACCTCTCTAAACTGGGAGAAATTAATTTCTAATCAACTAGGATCACATTTCATAACGCAAAAAAATCTTTGACTATGTAAAATAAGACTGAGTACTTCTACATAAATACTTCAAGTTCAGGTCTTTTAAAAAAATCCTCTAGTGTTTTATAAAACTCTATAACTAAATCTACTCCTACACTTCCTTACTACAATCACATTGCTTTGACTTTACTTCAGTTACCAATCAACAAGAAAACAAATACTCTAGGCATTCACACAAAGGCAGTTAAAGTCCACACACGACACCAAACCAACCCTCTCAAGTCATATTTAATATTCTACTCCGCAACCATCTCAGCTATCCAAACCATACACGGTGGTAAATGGTGAAGTGGGCAATGAAACAAGGATGAGCAAGGCTTCTTTGTGTGTTATCAGCAGAAGGTAGGTGAGTAGGAGAGGCCATCTCAGCATTTGCTTGGCATCAACACTTACCTTGAGGATGTCCCCCCTCTTGAAGCTCAGCTCGTCGTCTGCAGTAGCTTTGAAGTCATATTTGGCGATGGCTTCCATTCTGAGCGCTGCTCAGTGTCAGCAGCCTAAAGCAGGGGGAAGGGAGGCTTCCCTGCTGAAGCAACCCAGCGCTCTGGGATCAGGCTCGCCTCTCCTCTGGAACTCGCTCCTGCACTCCGGGACACACAATGCCACCCTGAATCAGAAGAGGGATGACTGAGCGAAGGGGCCGGAATCGAAGGCAGCCCCGCCCTGCCAATTGGCCTGCAGTCCCAGCCCCCACGCCCCCTGGTTCGGCCTGGCTCAGCCCTCCTCCCTCCCTTCCAGGCAAGATCTCCTTCTTCCTCTTCTCAGCTTCAGCCCCCAGGCAACTGACAGGCCTGCCGGCCAATGGCGGCAGCTGCTTGAGCTATTCCAGAACACACTTCCTCTTCCTTCCCGCTGGTTGTGTGGGGTGTGCAGGAACCGGCTGGAGTCCCGCTCAGTCTCCGCCTTTCCTCCCTGATCCCTTGCTCTATCTTCTCCCGGTAGCAAAGGTAGCCCATTGGAGGAAAGGCTTCATCCTGGGGATGGCACCCTACTTTTCTCAGTTAAATAGGCCTATCTCCCTGCCAACCTTTCTCATTTCTGAAAATGTTGGGACCCCAATCCACAGTCAAAAAAGCAAGCAAATGCAGGACTTGGTCCTTAGCTGCTTTAATGTTCTCAGAAACTAAACCTTGGTCTGCTCCTAGGAAAGTGGAAGAAGGTGAACCTAGGAACTACTTTTTTTAATTTAGTTTGCTACCTGAGCACAGGCACTCTCCTGCCACTTCCCAACTGCGATTCACAGGCTCCGGTAACCAGAGAAAAGAGACCCAGTTCAAAGCCTTTTGCTGGTGGAAACCTGCTCTTGCATAAGGCTCCCTCCCTCCCCTCTGAAGACCCACAAGACTTTGAGTTCCCCAAGAGCCCTTGAAATAGATGTCCAAAGCTCATTATTCCAGAATTAGCTCTGCATTCTAACTAGCAGAAGGAGCTAGTTAGAGCACGTGAAAGAATCTTTTTCAGAATCTGAGCTGCCAGATAATCTCACCTAGGAAACGTGCAGGGAGAGGGTGCCAGAAAGTCAAGTCTCTGACACAGTTACCCTGAGAACAACTGCTTTTCTCAGAGCCAGAGGAGCACAAAACTGAACCAAATTGCACTCTGCAGGTAAATATTCTGTAATAATCGTTCCTTTGGTAACATACTAGACAATGGACAGTGGGTAGTACAATCACTGCTGCAGTAAAGAGTCTGCAGCCGTGAATCTGGGACACAACCAAAACCTCTGTGTACTGAAAGAAAAATAAAGCCCCACTACTCTGATCAGTCAGTTTTCTTACAGGCTGAATAAAAGCAGAAAACAACGCTTACACTGACAGAATGGGGACAGAGTATTTATAGTGACATCTTCCTTGGATAATTACTCCAGCAGAGAACTCATCTAAGGGGCACGAGAAATTGTTCTTTTTCTATTCGAAAGTTAACAACTGGGACACTAACCAAGCACAGCTAAACCTAAACAGTAGGCCAGCTAGGAGGATGGAAGATTAGAGGGAGGCGAGTATTGCCCAGGAGGAAAGAAATCACCTGATAATACAAAGTCCTTCAAATTCTGAAAGCCAAATATTCTACAACAGGTAAACTAATAAACCTAAACAATGTTTATTCTCTCAGCACATAACTGGGATAGCTTATGTGCTGCTGAGTCTAAGAGGGGAAAGTAAAGATTAAGAGTTCTACCGAATATAAAATTATACAAAGATTAGTCTCAGTATTTTTTTTGTGTGTGTGTGTCCTTCAACACTCTACTCATATTCTATTTTTTTTATCAAACAATGCATGCATGTAACTTTAAAAGTCAGCATATTAAAAGGCTTATGAGTGACTGTGAAGGGGTATGAGGGACTTGGTGAAGGGGGAGCCTAGTAAACATAATGTTCTTCATGTAATTAATTGTAGATTAATGGTACCAAAATTAAAAAAAAAAGAGAGTGACACTAACATTCAAGATAGCAAAGAATGGGGCAAAGAACATTCCTAAGACATTAGGTGCTTAAAAAAAAAAAAAATAGGCTAATGAAAAAGCAGTTCCCTACGCCAACACCCACAAGCAATCACCCTCAATTCCATTTTTAGCTTTCTCTTTACATTTCTAAATAATACCCCTCAACTGCTGTTTAATTTATTCCAACCATCATCTTTATGTGAAAGACGAGGACCTAGCTATTCCACCCCTGCAAGTTCCACTTGCCCCACCCCAGTAGTATCACATATTCTGGTTTAAGCAGTAGCATTACATTATGAAATATTGTTCACTAATGACTTAAATAATGTATTACAACCAACCTTCCTTTCTAGTATAATCCTTCAATTTTTCCCAACATTAATAACTGCTCTTCCTTTTTTGACTACTCTCCAATATGTATGTCTATTTTTAATTTGTTACAAATGCTTTAAAATCTCTGCTATATGCTTATCGACATTTTCCATACCCCAACCTGACCATTTAATTGGTATCCAGGTCTGATTACTGGAAGTATGTATCAATGATGGGAAATTGAAGAATAATTGATCAGATCTAAAAAAAAGTTTCATTTTAAAAAACAAATCACACCCCAAAGCATACCATCAAAGTACTGTGGAGTAACAGCATAAACGTCTAGAACATTCAGGATTTCAGACAACTGCAGAGTAACCAAACAGTCCTAACAGAAAAAACAAGACCATTCTCAACATGTTTTCCTGCCTTTACTTATCTACCACAGGTTTCCCAGAGAAAGCTTAAACAGACTAATACTCTTGAAAATCATGTTTCAATCAACTATTGCTTTGTGTGATATAATTTGATAGAAATGAACACCTAGCACAATAATACTTCTGTGGCTGTGCCAAACAGAAATTAGCATCTCACGGAAAAAAGTCTGAAGAAATCAGCTTAGTAGTCTATCCACAGAAAGGCACACACAGGATAAATGAATTCAAAAGGGTGTTTCAATAAAGACAAAAAAATTCTATCACATACACAACACTAATTACAAAGAGGAAGAAAACTGAAAGTGGACACAATGTATAATGATTTTTAAAAGAACAGATGTTGCTGTTCATTTTTCAGGAAAATGGGTTGGGAGTACACCCTGAAGCCTAAGGAGACTATGTCTAAACTGTTACCACACACGCCTGTGCAGCTCATCACACAGCAAATTTAAAGAAGGCCAGTGCAGCCTGAGCTGTTCACTTCAAGCAATATGCATTTTGTATGCTAAAATGCAGTCTCCTAAAGGTTTTCACTGGATTTTATTTTCTTTCTTCCATTTAATTCTCTTCTTAAATAAGAAACACTGGGCCAGTATAGCTTAGTGCTGTCTGCAAGGTTTCTAAAAGCATTCAAGTAAAACCTTCATGCTTACCAGCTATAATTTTGGCCAAACCTTTTAAATAAGCCCGTTTTCTCATCTACAAAATGGGGACAATTTCACATACATAACATACATGAAGTGCTTTGGACAGAACTCAACATTAAACCACTCAAAATAAGTTAAAATGTTCTCAACTTAAGATGTTCAACTTAATGGCTAAAAATTACAAATTAAAACAATGAGATTTCTTTTAGTAACTGACAAAAATTTTTAAAGATTGATAACATTAAGTCTCTGCAACACTGGGTAAAGGGGCTCTCGGACTCTTATACAATGGTTCATTCATTCAATGTTTGGGGCAGCTACTATATTTTGACAATGTGCTTGGTACTGGATTATAACAAAAGCATCAGAGCCCACACTCCAGAAGGGAATAATTAGTTCAATCTTTTTGGGGAGTAATTTTGTAGAATCCACTGACAATTTAAAAATACATACCCTTGAACAAGCAATTCCACTTCCTAGATTTACTTCTCTGACATAGTGACAAATACCATGTGCAAAATGATCAACATCCATGAGCACATCTATGAAATATCTTTCTATATATGTACCAAGATATATTATCAAGTTAAACTACAGAAAAATTATAGTTTTCCCATTTCTGTGTAGCCAAATAATATATATCAGGTTATGCTAAAGCAGAAGTTCAAAAGGTTAATGATATAGTTATCTCTAAGAGGGAGATTACAGAATATTTTTACTTACTGCACCATATACAACTTTATTTTCACTGTTTTTATTTTAAGCATGTATTAGTAGTTAGAAAAACTTTTGTAGCTAGAAAAAAAACTCCAAATATTACTGAAGCTCTGGAGTTAGACCTGGATTCAACTATCACTTTACCACTTACTAATTGGGTGGATGACACTGGAGAAATAATTTTATATTCTCAAATCCCAAGTATGCCTCAGCTGGAAAAATGGGAATAACATCATCTACCTTATAAAAAAAGAAATATACCTGAAAAGCCCCTTAGCAGTCTCTAGCATAAAGTGCTAAGAGGTGTGATTAGCATCATCAGTCTCTTTTCAAGTGTAGGTTCACAGTAAGGCTAGAGCTTCTATCTACATGCAGACTCAGAAGAACTTTCTGGCAGGGAAATTAACATTCCTATTAACTATAAACTTAAAAATTAAATTGCTCCACATCACAATCCTAACAATGCTCAAATATGCACACATATAAAAATTAATCATGTCTCGCATCACTATTCTAATAGTTCTTAAATATTTAATCTATATATACCTGAAGTGTAATTAACTCCAGTAATTTAAAGCCACACTCCAGTCTCATTATTTTATGGCTGCTATCTGTAACAACAGTTTTGGTCCTTGGACCAGCTGCACCAAAATCACCCCACTCAAAGAATGATGCACTGTGGGGTACCTTCTGGAGTTCTGCAAGGTAGTGAGTGGCCTTACGTCCAGAATCTAATTGTAAGTAATATTTACAATTAATTCTTATGCATGCCAAATTTTAAGAACCACCGCTGTACTGTAAGAGTGCCTTCAGCAGATTTTAAGCATTGCATTCCAGACAGTGCAATACAATGTCTCTGCATAAAATGAAAATGCATAGTGACATGGTACAACTGTGAAAAAGCCAACTTCGACAAATAAAACCAAAGACTCTCAATGGGCACTCAGTAGTGCCAGAAAGTTGTCCTGAATTAAGCAACTATTAATTTCTCTCAAGAGAGCATGGTGGTTTTCTGTTACTTCATTTCCTCAAAAATTATTACTCTTCTGCTCTCAGTAACAATCAGAACTGCTACAGCACAACATAACAGGAATTACTGAGAAAAATCTCTTAAGTATCATCAAACTAGTTGTATTTAAAACCTAGTAATCCCTCAAATCTGAATACACTTGCTGAGGAAGTAAACTGCTTCAAGCACGTAAATGCTTGCTTTCAGCATCAAAGCAAGCGGATTACAAGAATTAACTTTTTAAAAATTTCGGGACTCAGAAAATTCTCAACATGGCAAGAGGCAACAGAAAAAAGCATTTCTTCCTGTCCAAAATACAAAACAAAAACAAAGGCAGCTGATTTTAACAGATGCAGGAAAAGATGCCCGATTTTTAAAAGTCTGGTAAAGAATAAATTAGTACTATTCTAATGAGCAAGCTTCAATTCACCAGTGGACTAAATAAATTCTATTCGTTATCTTGATTCTATTGTAATATAGGTCTGTGGTTGGTTCTACATAAACCGCCCCACACCAAAAGCCAAAAAGTAGTCATACAAGCCCCAAATTTCCCCAAACCTCCTTAGTAATATAAAGGAAACATAAGAAGAACGTAAGCAGGCACAAAGCATGATCCTGAAGTGAAGAAAACAACTAACACAAGTAACACTAGCACGCTACACTTGTGACCTAAGGGGCAGTATTGATTACTTACGGATGAATTCAATCCTTTGAGCCTCCCAGTTCCCAGGGGGAGAACTTAAGTCTCGCATGGCTCTCCGGCAACTCTTCTGGCTGACTGACGGAACACAACTGGACGCTTACAAGTAAAGGATAAAGCAGGAAAGGGTATCTTCCCGGGAGGAAAAAACGGAGACTTAAAATGGGGGAGAAAACAAATTGCGGCAAACAGCACAAACCTTGAAAAATTATGCCAGAGAGGAGACAATAAGGAGGAAGGGGAAGTAGATTAGAAAAAAAAGAGGGGGAGGGGGCAAATGACTTGCATCACACAAGCATTTAGCGTCCGCAGTGGAATAGATAGTAGGCAGAAAAAGGCAACGACTGGAGAAGTACGAAGTGGAAGAAGGACACGAAAGCCAGTGAGACTAATGCTGATTTCTCTCGTGCGTCTTTCAGACTCTTTTCTGAGTCAACAGTAATAAAAGCTAGACCTCGAGTGCACTTCAGCTCCTCTGCAAACTACTCTCACAGCATCTGAAGCCAGCCGAGAATAACTCCCCGAACAAGCTGTTAACTCAAATGGCTTACAATCACATACATGAACAGCGTTGTAAATAAAAAATACCACTGCTTCTCTCACCTCACTCACTGAAAGCTTTTCCTAAGAGCATTCCAACCAATTGCTGCTCATTTTTCTTCACAAATAATTTTCAGAAAGCAGTTGGGAAAAAAAAAGCGGTATTAGTAAAAGGATCTCCACGGCCTCCGAAAGCAAACCTTCCAACTCAAGGTATTAATGGGGTCCGGCGGTTCCCTCCCAAAATTCCCTCTTCTGGAACTCCAAATGCCAAGAGATGGTGACGTGGTGACCGCTGAGGTCGAAGGAGCATCAATCCCCACCTCGGCAACCAGCTGCGAATCCCCCGCCTCCCGGGCCAAGTCAGACTGACTCAGAGTGAGTACGTTGTGCTCTCGGGCTTCTCTAGGGCCCCTCTGGGAAACCATCGTGAAGAAGACATGAAACTTAATTAGGAGCCCCCGGCCCCTTGCTCCGGAGTCCGGGCTCTGCCCCAGCCAAAGGCCGAGGAAGGACGGTCCCCAGGAAGGAAGCGCCCCAAAAGGGGAAACGTGGAGCCCGGAGCCCCGGGGGTTCCGCTCCCCGCCCCAGGCCTTGCCGCTCTGAGCCCCAGGCCCGGCGTCCCTCAGCAGGCTGGGCCCGGTACCCCGGCCGCCTCCCGCTGCGGAGCGGGGACGAAGACGCACTAGAGCACCGCCGTCGCCGCCGGCCGTACTCACCGTGGCGCAGCTGCTCCGCTCTGCGCCCGGCCCGCCCCTTCGCAGCACTGCGAGCGGCCGCCGACCCCGCTGCTGCTTCCCGAGGGCAGCGCCTATTCCGGCCGCCGACACCAACACAGTCTTCGTCGCCGCCGCCGCCGCCCGGTCACCGAAACAGTACAGCCGCCTCGCTTCCGCTCTTCGTCGGAGTCCCGCGAGAACTTCCCCGTATGGCCCCGCCCCGGTCTGCCCCCACGAGACTTCCCCCAGCGGAAAAGGCCTAGAGCGCAGGCGCTCCCCTTCGGCCGGGTACCCACAGGTAGAGCGCGCCTGGTTGCCAGGGCGCGTGCGCTGACTGCTCCGCAGCAGGTGGCACCGGCATGGCTCCGCCCCCGGTCTCTGTAACCCTCTCGGTGCTAGAGCGGACAAATTACAACTCAGCCCCGAAGAAGCAACTCCTATCCACACCTAATCACTCCCATTCCCCTTCCAAGCCCTGGCCGTTGGGGGCGGAGATCCCACCAGCATGAAACACTCCAAATAGAGGACCAGGTTTTGAAATTTTTGAGAATCCGGTCCAAACAAAGTCTGCAGTGTTAGATGAATTAACAAAATTTCTTCGCTCGTTGACTGAATCAAGTGCCTAAAATATGCTAAGCACTGTGCTAGGTATAGAGGGTGCAACGAAGACGAGAATCCTACCTTCCTGGAATTCACGATCTAGAGGAGGTGAAGAAAAGAAAACAAATATTGCTCTAAGTACGGTTAGAATTATTTGGGGAATGCTGAGGAAACTAAAAGGATGGGGAGGCAGAGGTCGCTACTCTGCCCATCTCAGACAAGCCTTCCAGGGCTGCGAAGGTGATGCGGTGATGCCTGAGCTGAGTCTTGGAGGACGAGTAGGAGTTCGCCAGGCAGAGCAGCCCAGCAAGGGCATTCCAGGCGAAGGGCAAAAGCAAGCAAGGACAAAGGAACGCAGGCGTAAATCGTGTTGTACGCAATGCTTAGCAGTTCCATTCGCTTAGGGAGGCAAGTGAGCGCCGGGCACTGGCAGAAGGTGAGGCTTGGAGAAGTAATTCCCATTTTTCAGTCCCAAAGTTATTCTCAATTGAAGGAGATAACAGAACTCATCTAACGGTAATGTGTGCTCCGGATGCTAACAAAATAGCGTTGAGATGAGAATAAACAAACATCTAATTCTGTAGAGAAAACAAGCTCAGTGAAATAAGGAAAATAAATTGTTCTTTCAAATATTTATTGACCATCATCTGCATGCAAGGCGCTATGCAGGGTACTAGAGGAACCCAACAGAAGTCTCTGCTTTCCACAGTTTGTGATCTAAAGGGGAGAGAGCTGCATAGTCTGTAAGCCAAAACAGTGGGCCGCAAGTGCCACTGAACTATGTATAGGATTGCAGAGGAGGGAATCAGTACTCGGTACTCAGGTAAGCAGGGAGGACTTCGTGATTGAACTGCAACGTGAAAGCAGGGAGGAAAGAGTGACTGCATCAGCTGATATTTCGGATTGGCCACAATTTAGGATTTAGAGGGAGCAGTAATGAGAGACAAGCCAAGATATTTGACTTGGGTTTCATTGTCAAATGATGTGCAACTTCGCAAGGTTTTTGAGCAGAGATGTCTGATAGGAGGTGAAAATAACAAGGACTATCTATTTACCACCAGATGTGTACTAAAGTCAGTGTTTCTACAGGGTGGATAATATCCTCCATTTTATAGACTCAGAAACTGAGGTTTAGAGTAACTCACAGAAACCCAAGTATAGTAGACCCAAGATTTGAACCTGGGTCTGTCTTGTTCTAAATCCCTTATTTTTTCCCACTATGATACTTTGTCCTTGAATGGTGGCCAGAAAAAAAATAGAAACGAAAGGGAAGGGTTTAGTTGCTGAGCAGAGAGGAGGGGGCAGTGGGGTAAGAGTTGCATTTCTTTGTTTTGAGTGGGGAGAACAACAGAGAAATTTGCCAGGAAGAGGAGTAGCTGACTGGGCAGGAGGGGGGAGTATGTCAGGGCTGTTCAGGGAAAGGGTAGGGAAGGAGATGATGATGCCACAGTTTGGGAAATACAGAGTTCCTATTTTCAAGAGACATGCAAGTGGAAATCTCCAGCATGCTGTTGAAAAGTTCAATGCATTCATGCATTCTCTCCACAGCACTGACAGCATCTAAGCTTCAGAGAGCGGGACTCATCATAGAGCTTGCAGCCTCAGGTAGAGACATACCCCCGGGAATATGACACTCGCAATACTGGTAGCTTTGGGAGCACACAGCAGGGGACCTGACTAGTCCAGGATCAGGGAAGGCTGAGGAGGGAGATTTAAGCAGAGACCGTGGTTAGCATGGGAGAAAAAGAGTGTTCCAGGAGAGGGTCCAGCATATGCAAAGGCCAGACAGTATAAGAGAATGCAAGGAAGCCATTTTGGCTGCAATGAAGAAGAATGTGGCATGTGGGGGAAGCATTTGCAAAGGCTCATTCAGGGCTTTTTCAGTGCTAAAAACTAGGGACTTGATTCTATGGCATACAGAAGCAGGGGTGATCATGGTCAGATTTTCATCTTCAAAATACTTTATCACTCTGGCTACAGAGTGGAAAATCATTCAGAACTAAGATATTTATCACCCACAAGATAAAGTCTCAAGTCCTTTGCAAGACTTCTATGGATCTGGACCCTGCCTGCCAGCCCCACCCTGTCAGTCACCAGCCCACACACACTCCACCAATACTAAACCGCTGTGGTTCCCGTAAAGCCATGATCTTTTGAGTGTCCATATCTTTGCACATGCAGTTTCCTCTGCTCAGCTGGCCTTCTTCCCTTTCTTTAAGCCCCCAAGTCAGTTTTGGTGTTTCTTCCTCAAAATTCCCACTATACCCCCAATCTCATTTGTGGCATTGTGGTCATTCACCCCCACCCTGCCCCAAACTCTACAGGCTGACAAACAGGACCACACCTTTTCACATTTGTAATCCCAGCACAGTGAATACAGCGAATAAATGGGTAGATAGATGGATATAAATCAACAGCTGCCTACAGATAGATGTGGCTGCTTTTCGGTTCAATGTGATACTTGAAGTTAAGGAAGTGGGTGAGATCGCAAAAGAGACTAGATATCTAAAAGAACAAAAAAAATGCACTTCCTTTTAAATGCAACATTGATAAAACAGACTCTGAATATGTCTATGTAAAAATATATGCATATAGACCAAATATGGACGGGAACATTTTTTTTAAAAAACTGTGTTGAAATGAAGCAATTGTTGGTGACTTAAAAAAAACAACACTTTTACATGTATTACATTGTCTTTGCGATAAAAATTATTTTCTACAGACACGGTCTCAGGAACTTGAGCGAACTCAGCTCAAGATCATTCCAGGCAGAGAGAAAAACCACACTAGGGGCAGTAGCATTTTGAACGTGTGTGTGGTTTATGCTAAATAGTAAGTAAGTTAAGTGTGTGGTTTATGCTAAAAAGAGTAAGAGGCAAGCTGGGAAATGAAAAGTCACGCCCTTGTATGAAAACTTGTAACTGCAGCAAAACTTACTAATTACAAACTGGCTACCTCAGTCACTTCGGAATGAAATTAATTACCAAAAAGTCTTTTCCGTTGGGGTTTGCAGTTAATTGTCGTCGCAAAGCGTTTGTCTCATAGCTTTCTGTGAGTTGTGGTGCTGCCACCTAGTGGTAAAATCCGGACATTGCCCGGGCGTTTACAGCCCTGAACCTTGAAAGCTGAAAGGAAATAGGTCTAACATGATGCCCTGAACCCATCTCAGGCATATCCCTGGAGCCCACATTTCCGAGCTTCTCTTTAGAGGGAAAGAACCAAACAGCCAGTGACAACCTAAACTTGGTCGCTGAAATTCTACTCCCTGCTCAATTGATCTTGGAAGTTCTCATTTTACAATTTCCTTTGCTCAAGTTGTGAGCCAAGGCTGCAGACACCTCTCAGGCTTTCAGGGCAGCCTCTGATGCTGAGCCTACCAGTGGGATACCAAGTCCTGTGACTACCCTTCCTCCACCTCCTTCCTCCATTTCCATCCCCTGACCTGGTCCAGACCACCATTCTTCCTGGGGGCTGCTCTGGCCTGTTCACTTATCCCCCTAACCCCTTCCAAGTCATTATCTATGCTGCAGCCAGAGTGGCTTTCTAAAATACAAATTGAATCAGGGGGTTCACAGATAAGATCCAAAGTCAGCATGTGGCCCTCTGTGGCTGGCCCCTGCTAACAGCCCCAGCCGCCCCCACCACTCAGCCAGGTCTCTCTGAACTCTTCTGTCTCCACTCTTCTGAATGACTTGCAGCTTCCTGGCTAAGCCTGCAATTCTCTTGCTTCCAAGTTTTTGTGCATACTGCTCCCTTGGGCTAGAATGGAAAGCCTCCTCTCCCTGCCTTCCCCATCAGCACTCAGAGCTTGTCTGCCCTTCAATACTCAATTCAGGTGCCACCTCCCCCAAGAAGCCTCTCGTGATGCTCTGGTCGCTCCAATGTGTTCTCCCAACACCCTCGACATACTGCCTCATCACCATTTTCATAAGACCAACTTGGCCATCTCCTTACTTGTCCTTCTCCCCTTTAGACTACGGGTTCCTTGAGGACAGGGCCATGTCTTGTTTTTCTTGGCTTCCCAAATAAAGCCTGACTCCAAATAATGTGATACAGCATTACATGTGCTCTAGGAGCACTGGGACTCAGTGTTAAGTGAGTCCAGGATATTGAGATAACTTGGGGTAGGGAGTTTAAGAAGACTTCATGAAGGGGGTAGTATCTGAGTTTTCTTGACGTATAGCTACATTCCAATAGGTAGAACCGATGGGAGCCCCTTTAGGTCAAAGGGCAAGTTTTTAAAATGGAGAATAGAGCCAAGAATTTCTCTACTGCAGCAGTCTTTGAATTGTAATACACAAGAGGATCACCTAGGAACTAGTTTAAAATGCAAGCTCCAGTATCCCAGAGATAACTCAATTCCTAAGTCTGGGAAGGGCCCAGAAATACGCATTTTAAATAAGCAGCTGCAGGTAATTCTTAGAATGGTCCTCTTTGGACCAGACTTTGAGAGACAACGCTTACTGAATAATTGAGTCATGGGGATTCTGGGATCTTCCCAGTGTGTCCTAGATTACAGGAATCAGAATGCAAATTGCTATGAGCAGGAAAGAAATTCGGGACTCATGCCCCAGGGCACTCCCCC